GAAGAACAACTTTCTGTTACTAGTTTGAAGCCTGCTACCCATTCCTTTCCTTTGGTGTCCTCTAGTCCTTCTTTATGGGAACTCAGGAAGAACTTTTCTGAATGCACCCTCTCCACCCAACCCCTGCTTTTAGAGACCTCTATCCTGTCCCCCCTCCGTCTCCTCTTTTCTAAGCTGAACAGTCCCAGTCTCTGTAGCCTTTCTTCATCTGGGACCTGTTCCCAACCCCTGATCATGTTAGTTGCCCTCTCTTCTCCCAGCCTTTCTCTTCCCCTCTCCCACCTCCTTTTCCCAGTGTCCCCCAGTTTTTTTCAATAAAGACAGAGTCAATGTTGGAAGAAACGTTATCTTTATTTTGTACATCAGGAAGGGGGGCTAGGGAAGGGTAAGTGGAAGGAGGTGAGGGAGGAATGGGGTACGAGCCCCCGATGGGGAGGACTGGGCTGGCTCTGCGGGCTTCTGGGGGTGGAAGCTCTCCTGCAGCCCCCCAATTGCCCTCTCTCCCAGATGGCAGCCTGCGGCAAGTGCAGCCGGGCTAATGGCCGAGTGGTGTGATGTGCCCAGTGTGGGTACTCCGGGCATTCCAAGCCCGGACTGGTTTTCAAGTGGGGCACCCGTGAGAACTGTCTGTCCTGGGTGGGGGTCGGGACCCTTTAAGAACAGCCCTCGGCTAGCCTGAGACAGCATCTCCACGCTCTAAGTCCTCCTGTGATGACCTGCCGGCACTGCTTCCGGCCATCCTTAAGCCCTGTTCAGGGTCCACTCAATGTGGACTTGCTAGTTCGAATTAGCAAAACGCTAATTCGAACTAGTTTTTAGTTCTAGACGCGTTAGTTCGAATTAGCTTAGTTCGAATTAACTAATTCGAACTAAGTTAGTTCGAATTAGCGCTGTAGTGTAGACATACCCAAAGTCCTTTGGTAAATTGGGATATTACATTCTTTAGAGGGCTCTAATCCTCCACCCAGGAAAAATATTATGATGTGACGTGTGCTTCTGTTTTAGTACATGGACATTACAAATATAAAACAATAAAATTAAATGAAATAATTCAGTAACATATGTGGGGCTTTTGTACTTTTACAAGAAGTACAAAAGTACTAAAGATGAATAAAAAGCATTTGGTATTGGCCTAACAGTGCTCCCGTCAAAATCAATGGTGAATTCCCTTTCATTTTAGAGGGAGTAGTTGGTGGAACAACGACCCCTTTGAAAATCCCACTCTATTTTTTTTCATTGTTCCTGAGACTTGAAATTCTATGAGAAGAACAGGATAGAGGGAGGCCATTATCAAACACCATGGATGAAGCATGTAGGGTAGGGCATCTGGACAGAGGAAGGGAGAGAATGAGTGAGTAAGAAACCAAACAAAAAGTGTTTTAAGTATAGTGTTCAAAGGAAGATTACCTTGCCTTTACTGGGAAGTAATGGGACATTTCCATACAAAGTGTAGGATTTCATGACTGTAAAATGCTACCAAAAGTAAATATAATCATAAGAACATTATCAGGCTTAGAGTCTGAAATCAGGATAGAATTCTGTCAGAGAATTTGATTTTTATATTTATATCTGTATATGTAATCTGTACCAGTCTGGGAGGTAAGGTAGGTAAGGTGGCCTGATACGGTGGGAACATGTTCATCAGCAGATGACACTAGTCTGAAGGAAACATTTCTGGTAGTTAATTTCAAGGAATTGGGAAAGCTATACAAGTCTGTGTAGTGAGCACAACTCGATCTTAGTTGACAGGCTCAAGGTATAATGCAGGGCAATATAAATACAGGGTCTTATCTTACTGAATGTTTTCATTGAGTTTTTCCAGAAGATATTCAGCATTCATTTTAAAAAAGGTCTGTCTGTGTAGACTTAATGTTTATTGTCTTGTATAGATTTTATCCATTTCTTCTTCTCTGTAAAATCACAATGATGTGAGCTTTCCAACAATCATTATAATGTCATATTCAGTTTCAGTAGGACATTCAAAGAACACATTCCTGAATAACCTGTTTGGTTTTTTTCATAAGCAGACTGTTCCCTGTTTTCTTTCTTTTAAATTAACTATTTCAGACGTTATATCTCCCTTTTGAGCCTATTAGAAGAGGATATTTTAGTTACATTCCATATGTGTATATAACAAATGCATGCCAGACAGATTTTCTTTCTTATACCTGTACATGCAACTTATGCAGTTTGATAGGTACTTAGATTTAAAAGTAGTCATCAACATGTACAAACACCAGTGTTCGTATGCCTGTGTGTGTGTGTGTGTGTGTGTGTGTGTGTGTGTGTGTGTGTGTGTGTCGGCCAATTCAGTTTAAAACATTTTGATGTCACATACTATTAAAATAATCTGCTAACTTGGAATTTTATTACATATTTGTTTCCTAATGCTTTACTTTTGTGCATTACTTCTCAGGTTGAAGTGCCACAAAACAGAAAATATATTTGATTGGCTGATTCTCAACATGAACCGTGCTTTCAGCAGAAAGAAAGGTAAATAGATTGGGTTTGGTTTCATGGGAGACTAAAGCAATTGTGCATAAATACTTGTAATGGTTAAAAAATATTACAGGTTGAACCTCTAAAATCCAGGACACTTTGCTCCACAATATCTGTGGTTTGAGCCTGGCGGCTAGGTGCTGGGGCCAGCCAGGGACAGGACTGCAGCATGGGCTGGCGTCAGCTGGGCTGGCAGCTGGACGCCCCAGCTGGCCTGCAACAGGAAATGCAGGCTGTACGAGGCTGGAGTCAGCAGGGCTGGCGCAGTGGGGAGCAGAGCCCAGTGGCTTGGTCTGGTGCCTAGTAGCAATGCCAGTGACGTACAGGGGAGCCCAGGAGTGGGGCTGTGGTGGGAAGCTGAGCCTTTACCTCCGTTGGCCCAACCTGTAGTATTACAGAAGAAATCTGTTTGTGTAGTTGTATTAGACAATTAGTTTAGAAATGAATGACTTTCTTAAAAGGTCAAGTTACTTCAGAGGCAGACCTACAAAGACAATTTTGTCTGTAGAGTAAGGCTGTGAGAGCCTGTACTGAATTTCATGTTATTTCCTTTATTGATTTCTGATCAGAGAGAATGCAAGCGGACAGTTAGAACAGTTAAAGGGAAGCATGGAGGCCACTAAGCTGCTTATTGTTTCTAGTGACAGGGCTTTTATTTCAGGTGAAGCTATTTTGGAAATCACATTTTTAACTAAGGACTATCAAGAAATTAAATATTAATCATGATAATCATGTGATTAATTGCGCTGTTGAACAGTAATAGAATACTATTTATTTAAAGAAAGAAAGGTATACAGTTCTCGCTTTATATTTTTTATTACAAATACTTGCACTGTAAAATAAATAAATAAATAAATAAATAAATGGTAGATAATGCTGCCTGCTTCTTGAGTCCAATGCCATCTGAAAGTGATAACAGGCCATTGTTTTAACTGGCATTGAAAGGTATTTATGTGCCAGCTGCATTAAAATTTATATGTTCCTTCACATTTCAACCATCATTCCAGAGGACATGGATCCATGCTGATAATGGGTTCTGCTTGTTGATGATCCAAAGCAGAGTGGACCAACACATGCTGATTTTTATCTTCTGAGTCCAGGCCCGCCAAGAGGGGGAGCAAAGGGGTCAATTGCCCCAGGGCCCAGTGATTCAGAACGGCCCAGGGCTCTTGGCTGTTGTCACTGTTCAATGTCCAGAGCCCCAACTCCTTTAGATCACTGCCAGAGCATCATAATCCAAACAGTTGTGAGTAGAGTTGTCCAGGTATTCTACCGGACAGTCTGATATTTGCACTCTTTGTCCAGTAAAAAAAATCAGAGAATACCAGACATATGCAACGTCCGGTATTCTCTGATTTTTCTGGCGGCGCAATCCGGACGGAAGCCTGGCGTGGGTGGGGTGAGCGGCTGGAAGGCGAGGCCACGATCAGCGCTTGGAGCCTGTGATTGCGCAGAAGTCTGGCGGGGGTGAGGGGAGTGGGCAAGGGGAGGGGCTGGGGGGGGCCCGCCCCCCCCCCGCCCCCGGCAGGCTTCTGTGCAATCGTAGGCTCTCGGTGCCGATGGCAGCCCCACCTCCCAGCCTGGAGTCCCAGTTGGGAGGCGGGGCTGCGATCGCCGTTCTGGGTGCTTCAGAAGCCTAGCCAAGGTGGGGGGAGTGGCTGGGACTCTCAGCCACTCCTCCCACCCCCACAAGGCTTCTGTGCAACCACAGGCTCCTAGTGCTGATCCTGGCCCCACCTCCTGGCCTGGGAGTCCCAGCTGGGAGGCAGGTCTGTGATTGCTGCTCTGGGCACCCCAGAATGGAAGAATACCGTGTGTCCACTATTTTGGGGGAGACCATTTGGCAACCTTAGTTGTGAGGGATGGGGGGGAGGGACAGCATGGCATACTCTGGGCAACACTGAAGGTTGCCTACCCTTGCCCTTGTCCTTCCACAGGAAGCCCCACCCCTTTTTGGAGCTCTGAACAGGTCCCCCATCTTTGGCCGGGGGCCGGTGAAGCTGCTGTCACACTTTTCTGAGTCAGGTACCACCAGCAGAAGGCTGATTTTTTCAGTTTTTGTAGCTTACACATCTGAGTGTTGCTCTTTTAAGACTTCTGAAAGTATGCGCTGCCCTCACATTTTTGATGACACTTCAGATTCTGAAATCTTGGGTTGAGTGCTGTAGCTAATTTTGGAAAACTTACATTGATACCTTCTTTGCATTTTGTCAAATTTGCAGTGAAAGTATTCATTAAAGAAATGTGCTGGGTCATCATCCAAGACTGCTCTAACATGGAATATGTAGCAGAATGTGGTTAAGACAGGGCAGGAGACATACAATTCTCCCGCAGGAAGTTCAGTCACAAACTTAATCAACATATTATTTTTTTAACAAGTATCATCAAAATGGAAACGCTTTTTCCAGAGTGGTAGGCAAAGCATGTTTAGCATATCTGGCACATAAATACCTTGCATCACCAAGTACAAAAATGCCATGCAAACACCTGTTTCACTTTCAGGTGGCATTGTAAATAAGAAGCAGGCACTATTCTCTCCTATAACTGTAAACAAGCTTGCTTGTCTTAGCAATTGTCTGAATAAGAAGAGAGACTGAGTGAATTTGTAGACGCTAAAGTTTTACATTGTTGTGTTTGAGTGCAGTTATGTAACCAAAAAAATATTAAATTTGAAAATAACACTCATGATAAAGAGATTGTTTTACAGAGCTTTTATATGATGAATTGAAAAATGCAATTTTTATTGTTTTTACAGTACACATTTGTAATCAAACATAATAATATAAAATGAGCACTGTATAGTTTATATTCTGAATTGCAATATAAATCTATATATTTGAAATGTCGGAAAGTGTCCAAAATATTTAATACATTTCAATTGGTATTCTGTTGTTTAACCATGTGATTAATCATTATTATTTTTTAGTTGTGATTAATTCAAAAATTGATTACATGAGTTAACTGATTAATCGAGAGCCTTTTTTAATTACGCACCCTGTCTATATCTAAACTGCAGGGTTTTTGATATAGTCATTTGCGGAAGAGTTTGGATGCAAAAATGTCTTGCACAAAAGTGCGTCCACACCTCAGAGCGCATCGGAAAAGCGATATGCTTTTGCGCAAGAGAGCATCCATACTGCATGGATGCTCTTGCATAAGAAAGCTCTGATGGACATTCACAGAATGGCCATCAGAGCACATGTGCTTTTTTGGATAAGCTCTATTTGTGCAAGAAACCCCTGTGGAGCATGCACACGTGCCTTTTTGTGCAACAGCTGTAGCACTAAAAGGAGTTATGCCTTGTAGAGGGAGGTTTAACTACACCGCAAAAAGCCCTCTGTTCTGCCATTTTACTGTCGATTTACTTGCACAAAAGCGCTCTTGAGGTGTGGGTGCTCCGCGGGTTTTTGCGTAAAACCCACCATTTTTGCGCAAAAACCTTGTAGTTTAGACATAGCCACAATGTAACAGAATGAATTATGTTTCTTGGTGTTGCCTTGTTTGCCTTACCATATTTGTTTTATAAATAATTTTCACAGATTTAATTTTAGTTTCCACCTTTTATCTCCAAAAGCAATGGAAAGAGGGTTTTATTCATAAAATAATATTTTCCTTATTCTACTCTATTGGGATACTAATAGCAGTTTAGGCCTTCCCTCCATGAGAACTAGCCTGCTTTTCCAGACTTCTTGTGTTTTGTGGTAGGGTTTTCTTGGTAGTTTACTTGACTATTGGAGAATTCTATGACCAGATACTTCCTTACTTAATCATTGTAGCTCCTAATCCACAGATGCTCAAGAATACAGCACAGAACATAGTTCCCGTCCCCTTTGTATCCCCCCCAACATATTTTATGTTTATATATCTTTTGTATGTTTTGTGAAATAACACTAAACAAAAAGCATTCATGAGTGAATATATAGCAAAACAAACAGCTTGAGTCAGGAAACACTTATTCACGCAGGCAGTCAGCCCAGTATAGTCAAGGAGCTGATAGAAGAGGTATCTGAGCCTCCAGCTATCATCTTTGGAAAATCATGGGAGACAGGAGAGATTCCAGAAGACTGGAAAAGGGCAAATATAGTGCTCATTTATAAAAAGGGAAATAAGGACAACCCAGGAAACTACAGACCAGTTAGTTTAACTTCTGTGCCAGGGAAGATAATGGAGCAAGTAATTAAGGAAATCATCTGTAAACACTTGGAAGGTGGCAAGGTGATAGGGAACAGCCAGCATGGATTTGTAAAGAACAAATCATGTCAAACCAATCTGATAGCTTTCTTTGATAGGATAATGAGTCTTGTGGATAAGGGAGAAGCGGTGGATGTGGTATACCTAGACTTTAGTAAGGCATTTGATACGGTCTCACATGATATTCTTATCAATAAACTAGGTAGATACAACTTAGATGGGGCTCCTACAAGGTGGGTGCATAACTGGCTGGATAACCATTCCCAGAGAGGAATTATTAATGGTTTACAATCCTGCTGGTATAACAAGTGGGGTTTCACAGGGGTCTGTTTTGGGACCGGCTCTGTTCAATATCTTCATCAACAATTTAGATAATGGCATAGAGAGGATGCTCATTAAGTTTTCAGATGATACCAAGCTGGGAGGGGGTGCAACTGCTCTGGAGGACAGGGTCATAATTCAAAATGACCTGGACAAACTGGAGAAATGGTCTGAGGTAAACAGGATAAGGACAAATCAAAAGTGCTCCACTTAGGAAGGCAAGTATCAGAGGGGTAGCCGTGTTAGTCTGAATCTGCAAAAGCGGTGAGGAGTCCTGTGGCACATACAAAATGGGAAGTGACTGTCTAGGAAGGAGTATGGCAGAAAGATATCTAGGGGTTATAGTGGACCACAAGCTGAATATGAGTCAGCAGTGTGATGCAGTTGCAAAAAAAGCAAACATGATTCTGGGATGCGTTAACATGAGAAGTCATTCTTCCGCCTCAGTTGGAGTATTGTGTCCAGTTCTGGGCACCACATTT